CATAAAATAATTATTTTTAAAAATACAGATATTAACTTATCAACAAAATGTTGTGGCACTTTATTGAATGTTGAATTCTCTGAGTGGTGCTGTCCTCATACTTAAATGCATTAGAAGCCTGACAGAACAGCAGGCCAGCTGGCAGACTTGAGAGTGTGGCAAGAAGGCATTCAGCACTGGGATCTGCAGGGATATATATTAACATGACAGGGGAGGTGTACTGACATGGACTTTAGTTTTGTGAGAGGTGGCAAGGCAAGAAAGTAGATTCTGAGCCTGTTGTATGACAACTATGGTTATCTAGTTCCCTGCCACCCTGAATGGGATATCTGCAGGGAGCCACTGTGAAGGTTGAATACTTGAAACTGAAGAGATAGAAATTATGTTAATATGATTGATTTATTTGGTTTTATAATGACAAGAATATCTGCTGTAGGCAGAAGGATTATTGCAGAAATAATTCATTTAGCATTTAAAAGGGCTTCTTGCTCTTAATTGCTTCTCTTTTATAACTTGTCCATAGAGAAAGAAAATATCTCATAATGGATGAAAATGTCTTAAGAAAACATACCCTCAGTTAATGCAAAGGGAGTTGCAGCTCTCCAGTCAGAACACTCCAAATCAATTGCCCCCTATAGCTTTGGTCAGTCAGATCAAACCATTCAAGTGTGCAGGGATCAAATTGCCAGTCAGTATCCATGACTAACAAATGTGTTTCATTTTCTGTGAAAGGATACTAACTCGACAATAATCACAGGGAAAGCAGTTCTCATAAACAATAGTATGTTTACTTTTGTGGATTTGCCTGTTTGGAAAAAGCATCTGGATGAGTAACAACCCTCTGAGCACTGTGCTGAGAAGCAGAGCAGAGCTGCTGCTGCATCACTTAAGAGTTAAGCTCTGAAGAGATGAAAATAGAAAGGCTGATTGCTGGTTGTCTCATCAGCCCTTGTGAAGAGCAGCTGACAGTATTCATGTTTGGAAGAGGAGAGGAAATTGGAAATCCATTCCATTTCTCCCAGTGTTTCAGGCACTGGAATATATGTGACTGCATTTCAGAAAATACAGGGAGACTAAGATGCTTAAACCACAATTCAGTCATGTCCATTGTTACAGAACAGTAAACTGAAAAAAAAAAAAAAAAAAAAAAAAAAAAAAAAAAAAAAAAAAAAAAAAAAAAAAAAAAAAAAA